TCTACTTTCCATAGATCTTGCTTGGACATTTAGCACAGCCAGTAAAGCTAAATGTGAACCAGCTGATAGAAATGCTCTAAAGTGAGGCAGAGGTTCACAGACATTGTTCACTATTGTTCTGGCCTGCAGACGCAGGTGGAAAGGCACCAGCAGCCATTGTGACTGTAAGCGTGACAGAAAATGGACTGTTAGATGTTGAGGACCTGAGGACCATCAGCCTCTGTCCCTGAGAGGACAGAGACTCTCTGCAGGCCTGCATGCTGCTGAGCTTCCTGTCAGCTCTTTGCTGGATAATCTGATCTGAATGGATTGAGGGAAAATGAGCAAATGGGATTTAAAGATTCAGGAATAAATCAACCCACACAGTAAACATGTTCTCCAACATTGAATGTTTCCATCTCAGCCTCGGAGCTTCTGTCCACGGTTAAATGCTAATGATCTGCTCCAGGTGGTGATAGAGGACAGCTGTGATTGGCTGAAACCCATCCATCAGGTCAGTCCTGTCAGTCCAGTCCTAATCCTCCTCTGGTTGGGGACGTTTTCCTGTTTCCTCCATATCTGCATTTCAAACCAGGTTTATCTAGTTTAATATTCAAGGCGGCAGGCAGAGAGTGTGTAGGTGAGTGAAGAAAACAGGCTTTGATGCAAAGCCTGAAAGATGCTTTCACCAAGATGAGCAGATCAGCCACCTTCACAGCTTATCTTCTCCAACACCGTGAATATTCTACAAGACATTCACTCTGGGGGGGGGGACAGCACAACAGCATCTAACATCATAAACTATGCAGATAACAACCAGCAGCAGATCTGGTTCTCCTAGTTCTACAGCTTCACCCAGAGAGGAGATGGAAACAGAGACCCAGAGAATGGCTGGGTTCATCCATCCTTGGATTTTTGCCAGTTCTAATTCAGCCGTCGATCAATAACTGATGAATGGCGTGCTTTCACTGGTTAGTGGTGCACTGGTTAGTGGTGCACTGGTTAGTGCGGACGGCCCATGTATAGAGCGATAGTCCTCGAGGAAAGGGACCAGATCAAAGCAGCGTCTGTGACTCTGACCTTTCCCAGATTCTTCCTCTGGAGAGCAGGGAAAGTCTTCAACCGGCCGCTGGGTCTCGTGAGCTCTGGCACAGAGGCCCATGTGACGCTGGGATCTGATAGTTGATTTTAGTTTTCTTTGTTTTAATCAGCCTCAAATCAAAGAGAACATCTGGTGTCTGATCCACGCGGTGCCGATGGCCGTCACTGTCACCGCCGCAGGACATCAACACAACTCTGCTGCTCCACACAATCATCTGACCCAGAAGGACCATTTAGTTTTTATTTATTTAACCTTTATTTTACCAGGAAGTCCCTTCAGATAGAATCTGTTTTTCCAGGGAGACCTGACCATCAAACTGCTGGTTCATCAACGCTCGCTCCCTAAAGGTCGCATATTGACGACTGGGAAAGTCTCCGGTGCATCAGAGACGGACGCTGACTATAAAAAAGACTAAAAGTGCTTAAATCTATAATATTATTTAATGTTTATCGTGGAGCAAATGTCACAAAGCAGCAGGAGGTGAAGGAGGAGCAGTGGACGCTCCCACCGCTTTACCGCCCTTCAGGTTTAGCTTTGGCTGCATGGATGAAATTATAGAAACATGATAAAGGAATGGGGCTGCTCAGTGACGCAGGGGGGGGGGCACCGCTGCTG